CCTCAGCCAGGGTCAACCCACCACAAATAGCAACTGTAAATGTATGACTGCTAATTTCATCACAATTTCTGCAGCCACATACATTCATTAAATAACTCCTTTAAAATAGTGTAACAGATGATTTTTGTTTTTTTTTAAATTTGAGCACTGGGTAAGATCTTATAATAGCACAGACAAGAAAAATAATTGGATTAAATAGTGTTATGAGTTTCTTACATATGGAAAACTGTAAGTGACAGAAACTTGGACTTTTTCATGGATTTATCTAGAATTTTTAGCTGGGAAATTGTGGGCTACAGTAAATTTGCAACAGTTATTCCTATTATTTCTATCCTGAGCAGTCCTTAAGTTGTTCAACTGTGCATCAGGGGCTGGATATTTAGTGTTATCTGCTCTCATGCACAGATAGCATTGCTTTGGCTCTTCTGAGCACCTTCCCTAGCATATAAATCACGATAGTCAGGAACTGCTATGTTGCATGAGAATATCTTCCATAAAAGGAGATAGAGAGGTCTGGAGAATGAACTCCATTTTCTACTACTGCAATAGACAACCAGAGAAGATAAAAGAAAACAGGGCCTACAGCTGACCCTGCCATCTTCTGAAAAACACTGCTCTGAGAATTTCTCCTTCCCTCCTTTCTCTGTCTTCTTTGAAAACCAAACCAGTTTGGGACAGATCTCTACTGGTGTTAACTTAGATTCACTTGCTTCTATTGTGAGATGGCTATGTAAATGTCTTCTACTGCGTACGAACCCTAAAGTTCTACATACATCCCACAATAGTAAAAGTGGTCTGTGTATACACTTCTGTGGATTAACCTATCCTTTATACTAGAGTTGTAATTTATTAAAATAATAGTATGGTAATAGTAGGAAATTTATACCGTGCCTTGGATTAGCCTCTTGCAAAATAAAAGACATTGCCAGCCAGGATGTAAAAGTTAAGAAAATTATTAGAATGAGTTTTGATTATCCAAGCACTTTTATTTTCCTCTCTCTTCCCGTTATAATATATTCAGAAAGTATTCCTCTCTTTGAAATTTACACCAGAGGCTTTCAAATGGTGTGAAATGTAGTTCATGGTTGGTTCATGACGTGAATTCTGCATGTTTGCAACATGACTTCTGTTTTACAAGAGTATATATGAAAAACTAAAACCTAACAGTCACATGCATTGGAAAGGACAACAGGACTTTTACTAAACTAGATGAATTCAAACAACAGTTGTTCAGGAAACCCTTGAAATCCAGGACACTGCAATATCAGTGACCTTGACTCCACAGTAAAAAATGGGTAGGAATTTTGGCTTCCCCTCACTTGACAGTCTGGATAAGAAAGGGGTACTCGAGTACTAAATGAGCCTCCTCAAATGGAGGAGATGTGAATGATGATGGGTATAGAGTACTTGGGCAGCATCCCTGCAAAATCCTGGGGAACCAATTAGGAATTAGTCAGCCAATGTTAGTCAAAAGAGTATTAAAATACCAGGGGAGAGTTTCTGGACCTCTGAATTATTTCTGACATTGGGGTCTTCCATTGAGGACATAATAACAAAATATCCAAAAAAAAAAAAAAAAAGTTTGAGTGGGGGTTTTTTCCCCTCTAAATGTTTCCCTTTTGTTCTGTCCAGGAGTTTCTCCTGTGCATAAAGAGTGGAGGATTTTTCCTTTTTTTTTTTTTCCTAGTCCCTACAAAGTTCCTGAGCCAGGTAGTGAGCCACACATTCTTGTTTTTCCCTGCAGGAAGCTACCTTAGAAAATGAAACCTGTTCATTCCCAAGCAGGGCAGTACCTCACGTACCTCGTGGGCCCACCACCTATTTAACAATGCCTGGGACAACTTCAGCACCTACATGTCCAGGTGAGGAGACAGGACAGTCCAGCGGCAATATGGAGAGGTGAGCAGAGGGGCTAGAAGGGAAATTTGGGATGACTTTGTTGGATGGGTTTCTGGGAGGGAATGAGGAAACTTCTCTTGAGAATAGTTCAGTGTCCAGCTGCTTAGGCTTCCTTAGAGTTATCTAACAGTGACCCCGGGTAAGGCTTATGATGAGCTCCTGGTCAGACCTGAAATCTCCCTCAAGCAGCAGACAGCGATGTATACGCTCTAGCATGCCAGTACGTATTCCTGAAACCTGGGACATATTAATATCGGCGGTGTCAAGAACAGCAGCAGTCTCCTGAAAAGCATTATATCAAAGGCTGATCCTGATGTAACCACAAATCGATTGGCTGCCATGGTGATGTGCTGCTGTTAGGGAGAGTGTTTCTAGGAATGACACCAGAGAAAACACAAGCTTTGATTATTTGACACAAACCAGAAAAAACAGTAAATTTTTGTGCACAGGCAGGTGAGTCAGATTAACCCACATCTAGCTAAACTGCATTTGAAATTAAAGCTGCGCTGTTAAGGTCTTCAAATTTGAATGAAACGTGCCCGCGAGAACCTACCTACTGTGTTGTGCCACCGATTGACTGCAAACAGCCTGCTGCAGGTGACGGTCACCACGGCAGGAATGGTCAGGTGGGGCAGTGTGTTGGCTGCCACGTGTGTGACGGGGGAATTTGATGGGAACTTCAGCACCATGATGACATCCTGCTGCATCTGATCTTTAAACATGAGGGGGCTCTGTGGAAGGAAACACTGTTGAGTAGAAAGGAGAAGAGAGCAGAAGAAAACAGAAGGGATAACACAATTAGTGAGCAGGTCTGAGGGAAAACGAGGTTAAAAAAGAGCAGGCAAGCATGTGCACATACAGGGAAAACAATGCTACCTGCGCGTCTACACTAGTGATGGAGGAAAGCAAGATCAGAAGCTATTATCGGATCATTACACGAGGACAAGTGAAGAATAGGTATGGTAAGGGTTATTGTTACAGGGTGTAAAATGACCATTAGTGTTAATTAATATACAGTAAAACGTAAAATTATACAGCAGTTAATATTCAAACAATAGACATACGAGTCAAATAGTTAATCCATTATCCAGCATAAATATAGAATCATAGAATTGTTATGTTGGAAAAGACCTCTAGGATCATCAAGTCCAACCATTAACCTAGCACTGCCAAGTCCACCACTAAACCATGTCCCTAAGCACCACATCTACATGTAAAATGCTATAAACTACAACAGCTGAAAAAAGAAATTTTAAGAGGGACTCAAAAACTCACAGATATTTAATTTTTCTTAATGAAGTCTTCATATGAAATACAGCAGTCCCAAACATAGACAATTTAATTCTATGTAAAGCATATACTTATTAGAGAGTCTGTAAGCAATTATAAACCTGTTTGATGATTCTACAAGTGACATGGCTTTTTGTAAATAGACAATAACACTGTTGTTAAATACTGGGTTTAATGTAATTTTTTTCAACCACTGGTATAACAAATAAAATTATCTCTAGAAGTTCAAATAATCCTTTTGACTTATCACTTTAAATTATTATTAAAAATATATTATCCATATCTTAAGAACATAAAATGAATATTATGTACGTTTGACATCTACACATTACTTAAAATAACACAACTAACACTTCCAGATCAATTTCCACTTTTGCAGTGTACAACTAGAGTGATTTTCTTGCACATAGATGAAATGACTGAAACTACATATTACTGTTGATATACAAAACGTAAAAGAAAATATCTAGCTCTAAGCATTTAATCAAAGGCACTGAGGGGCACAGAGGTATGTCTCATTCACTCTGGCTATTTCACACACTTCTTTGCAAGAAGCAGAGAGAAGAATGTGTTGGGAATGAATTTTGGAGTTCAGATTGAAATTTGAAATATACATTGTATTCTCCCGGGGGAACAAGTGGGAGGATTCCAGTAAGATTTGAACTCCCATACTTCATTTTCGTCAAGCAGGCATTGTGCATAAATCAGCCCCTAACAATGCATCCTTTACAACAAAACAAAACAAAACAAACAAGACATAACAACATGCTCACTTTAAGAAAAGCCTGCAGTCATTCCCACTACTTACAGAAATAAGAATGCAAATATGTATTTATCCAGTGTATATTTATGAAGATAGGCCCTCTTTATATAATATTAGACAGGAAAATCCAGGACTATAGGAAGCTAAAGCTATTCCAGCCTTCACCTTGCTCTGCTAGAGCACTGCGAGCTATTTCTGCCAGGAGAAAGTACGGCTGCATGGGCAGAGGAGGGCATTAAAAGTGTTGCTTAAATGGGTCCTTTATGACCTACAAATGATCCTCAGGTTCAAAGGGAACGCATTCCCAGCCAGGAGTTATGTCTCACCAGGTGCATGGCAGAGCTCCGAGGTGGATGGGGCTCAATGAGCAACTGCGATGGCGTCTGTCCAAAGTTCTGTATCTGCGCCTCCATGGCCTGCGGGCAAGGGAGAGGGACTGTCATGAGCAATATGCATCAAGGAGAGAGGTCAACACACTGTGTGACAATGCAGGCATATCCCAAGTCAGCCATGAAAAAAGTCCAGAAAATTCACCCGGTGCTCTCCTCCCAGGCTGCAGAGTCATCCAAGTGTTAGTATTTTGTAGACAAGCTTTGCTTCTCCTTTCAAGCATGCTTCAGTTAACCAACTAACCATTCTCATTTCCAGTAACTGGCATTATATGTGAAAATGTTAACCTGTGAGGACATGCAGTTCAGGTCTGGAGAGAGCTTTTTTTTTTTTTTTTTTTTTTTTCACTAAAAAGAACATATATACCTTAATAAAGTCCTTTGTAAGGAGGAAAGTATGAGGATCTCTAATAAAATAAGCCTCTGGAATCTTAAACGGGGGGAAAGAAAAGCAAACTGAGAAACAAAATTCATGTATAAAATATAATAAAACCAAAATAATTACTATTTCAACAACAACAACATTAGTAGTTTGAAATAAAAAAAAAATGCCAGAAATAGATCTTGCCAGGCACATTCAGACTAATGTAAAAATCTTTCCAAGTTGCATTCATACACTGAGTATTTATTTCATGCTTAATTTTATTGCGTTTTTTCATGAGCTTTCAGGCTTCACAGGTTTGAAATGAAAACTTAGCAATTTCAATGCATTCTTCAAGACTTAAATCTCCTTTCAGAATAAATCTGAAGTAATTCAATAGGAAGTAGAGTACAGCCTATATACTGAGATGCTTCCTACTACTCAAACACTTCATTCAAACAAAAATATATTTAAGATATATTCTTAAAAACTTTGGCGAAAGGTTGCTGCTTGTAAAAGCAATACTGTTAAAGAACACTCCTTATTTTTCAAATAGACAGGTACTATTTTATTTGACCTTGTAAAATAAAGAATAAAGCATTCATAGAAAACTAAACTGGCAGATTTTGAAATGCACTGTGCATTATGTACCTACATATATACTGTACCCTGCACTACTGACCCTTAATATTTTTCTTGTGAGCTTTATGAATTTTTCATTTGCTACCACACAAGAAACATGAAAAAACACCAAAAACATTACTATCTTGGTAAATTATGTTATTTCTTTCAGACATAAAATGGTAAGAAGCACAATAAATACTTCATGATACAGCGAAATCCTTTTAATCTACATATTTTATCATTCCTACAAGCCAATCTGTGTTTTCCTCCGCTTCACAGCATAGATGCAAGATCAGATGTTAGAGAGAGATTTCCTAACAGGTCACTAACGTCTACCACTCTTGATGCCCTAGATTGACAGGTATATAATGGAATACCACAAACAAACATTCGTCGAAAAAGAAACTTAATGCAAAGTCCAGTCAAGCGGCTGAAGGACTTTCAATGGATTGTAGCCCTGGCACATTTGATGCTGTAATTATCCTGGTACAGGTGATTTCTTGCTTGCTGACTGATTCAGAGTGGACTTGACTCTCCAAGGCACAGAGTGTTTCTTGGGAACTGGTGAGCATCTCTGGTTTTATTAACACCATTTAATGATGAATTAATTTTAAATCATCAAGTGATTTTATACAAACACAAAGCATTTGTGTAGGCACATATGTGTACGTCTGTACACGTCTACACAGCTGCTATCTATATGTACCATACAAATGGCATCTCTTTATGTGCTGTGTAGATACCTTCACTCATGCAGACACCTTTTATACAGGAGTATAAAATTCACTTCAAGTCAAATCAAAGGTAGTATTTTCTATTACATTCAGTACTCTAGAAATAATTTGCCTGGTGGGGAGAAGAGAAGGGAATTATACTTGTTTGTGAATTTCATTTTCAAAATGACAAAGACTAATATCAACAAAATCAGGCACTACGTGATATATGCTTCCATGCAGATCTGTCAATAATATTTTGAGAAAAGTAATTTCCATTTTTATTTTTTTCCAATAATTATCAAGGTTAATTTAATTTTAATTTTTGAAAGAATTCTGTGTTGAAATAAGAGTGTGAATTGTATTTGGCAGCGATACTGAACAAAACCTAGATCTTCCGCTCCCACCCTTTATAGTGATCCCTTAAACGATAATCCTGTTCTCTTGCAGGCACACCATAATGAATTATTAAATTTTTTTTTCAGTGCAGACCAATTCTAATTTGCACATTTACTTTCATGTTGTCCAGTCTTGGCAAATTCTGATTGTTTGGCTGTAAATTCTGCACGCATAAACTTTGCTGGCTTTGCCTTCCAGTTCAGGTAAATTTATGATAGTAACATGGGAAGAGAAAGAGAAGCAGAACACAATAATAAACCACCACGAATTTTCAGATAATGAGGAATGGACACTTAAAACATAACTGTCAAAAGCAGCTGTTACCTGAAGATGTCCTGGTAAATACTCACTTAGATACTTTACATGTCCATAATTTTTAAACATTTAGATTAATGCCAAGTCCTTCTGTAACCAGAACAAATGCAGAATCAAGACCTTGATATTCAGGGAATATTGAATACTTTTGCTGGCTTGCATTTACAAAAGACAACCGTGTCTCCCCCACCTCATGATTACTAATGTTATCCTTTTGTTTCAAAAATACCATTTATAAAACTGACAACTCTCAGAAGTGTTAAAGAAACTGAACAAAGTTTCTTTAAAAATACCGGTAATATTCAACTACCGCACTGAGACTATACCCTGCACAACACTGCAGCTGTGCACAGCTACAACTTGTATTCCTCTCCAGATTTCACAACACTTAAAAAGGACAGAAAAACCTTGTCAAAACTTACACAGAAGATAAACATAAGCATACAGAGATAAAGCGACTGGCCCAAGGGTATTCCTAATGCTGCCTCCTATCAGATCACTTGACACAAAATGAAAAGCAGGTACAGAACAGATCTGTGAATAATAATGTAATACATTGATTTGTTTACAAGAGAACTCTGGCTGTATCTGAAATTAATCTGAAAACTGGTAAGAGCACACTGCAGTTTTTCTTGAACTGTAAATCATCAAACTTTAGATTTATTTAATGGTCTTAAACATTTTGTTTTAATCAATCAATTCCTTTTCTCCCATCACATCTTGAGTATTGTGTGCAAAGTGCCTCACCACTCCCTGAAACACACATTCTAGTCAATTTAATAAGTATTTTAATAAACGAAAGTTTATTCTCATTTCACCTTCAAATGTCCTTCATGCAGAAACAATATAAGCATTGAATTCAGCGGCTGCCAGATTTAACGCTTTTGGAACAGCAAAATGGCAATTATATTAGTTTTCACTTTCTTAATAAAGTGTTGGAGAAAAGCTATTTAGTGAGCTGATTTGAGATTCCCTACTGTTTTTAATACACATAAAATGAGATTTGTACTCCAGACACTTTGGGGAGTATCTGTTAGGGTATGATCATGTATTGCAGAGAGATAAAATGGGTCTTAGCCTATTACTTGATAATCATAGGTCAGAACAAGGAAAGAAAAAACATCTGCAAACTTGCTGGCAATTCAGCTTAAAATGAGTCAATCTGACACATCCTAATTTATGCAATCAAGCAAAACACAACTTCAGAGCACTTAATATTGGCCATTTAACAATAATATAGAGAGATTTATATTACATGTTTACATGCATTTTGGTCAAGAAATCAATACATCAAGTCATCCAATCTTATGAATGATACTAATCATAGATACAATGAGCAATACCCTCAATGTATTTTGCTCAAAGGAAATAAATTATTTAGTTCCAATTTTTATGCTTAAAGGCAGACTGTACATTCACAAGGATATTGGGATGCTCCTTTGCAACCTGAAGGATCAGTCCTTAGTGTCAGCTTCCTGTAGAAAGAAGAGTTCAATACATCTGCTTTGCTCATTATGCAGTCTACAGAAGTATTTAGGCTTTATTTCTCAATTCTGGCTGAAAGAAACACAAATCTGCCATTAAATAATTCAAGCAGTCTGGTTTTTTAGGTGTAGGCAAAGTGGTCAAAGGCAATGTCTCCAACAGCAAGCAGTGTAATTCAATAGGAGCAGTGATGCAGAGCAAAAGAGTTGGTCTTAGAATAGAATAGGATTTTTTTTTTTTTTCAGTTGAAAGGAACCTACAATGATCATCTAGTCCCACTGCCTGACTGCTGACCAAAAGTTAAAGCATATTATTAAAAGCATTGTCCGAATGCCTCTTAAACACTGACAACCTTGGGGTATCGATCACCTCTCTAGGAAGCCTGTTCCAGTGTCTGACCACTGTCTCAGCAAAGAAACGCTTCCTAATGTCAAGTCTAAACCTCCCATGAGACAGCTTTGAACCATTCCCATGCATCCTATCATTGGATACCAGGGAGAAAAGATCAGCACTCTGATCAGAAAAGATCAGTTCCTCTTGAGGAACCCATGCTGAAACCATGCCCACTGCAGGGTTTTCCCATCAGGCTGGCTCCAGCTTGGGCTGCAGACTTCCATCAGCTACTGCACCCTTGGAAGACATTGCTTCTGTGGCTTAGAAGCCAGTTCATACACTCCAAAACTGCTCTGCAGTGTGAATGAAAGCATGGCAAATAGGGATGATCACCAGATAAATTTCAGAAGCACAGTCCTAATCTAAATGAAAATACTAGAATTAACTGATCTGAAATATCACAAAAGTAAAGGTTTTGTTTGCTCCTCGTCATATCTTTGCCAAAAAGGTAAGCCATAAAGCAGTTTATTTTTAACATAATTTTTTCTCTAAAAAAGTTCTTTAGAAATGCAGGTAAAATCACCAAGGAAGATATTAATGGTCCATCTCATTTGCAAACTCCCCTTTGCTGAGAGAGATGCTTGGTGACTACGTAACACAAGAAATATAAAAGCATGAGCACTTTTACTTTGAATCATGGAGGGAAGAAAGAAATTCCTAAAACCTGAATTGCAGATAGCAAGACAAAGTTTTTATTCTTATATGAAGTGGCCTAGTTTTATTCATCTTCATTGATT